TTGGGATTTCTAAAATTCTATTTAACTCTTGCACCAGGCATGACCACAGTCTTTTAGTTTTTATGTATTAATATTTTAGGCTTTTAGATCTCAAGTCATAGAACAGGGATACAAAGCTCAGTACCTAACAACATTGCTAAAAGGAATACATAATTCACTGATATGTCTGTTCTGCTCAAAATCTCATGAACAAAAGTTATAGAAGTGCAAATGTAGCTATTTTGCAGAAAAACTGCACAGGGCTTATCTCATGCAAATTTGTCAGGTTTGACCAATTCATCCTACCTTCTTGCTATGACTATCTACTTAATTGCTACCTAAAATAAAAATAACCTACCTTCCCCCCGCCTTTTCTTTAAATTTATTAATGATCATGAGGGCACTCTCTTATTTTTCAAAAAAAAAAGTGTCAGCTTTTATTTTCTTTAACAAAATAAATACCCTTGAAATTGTTCCTTTTTCCATCAAAACAATATTATTTTTCAGATGAAAGAGTTAAACTTAGTCATTGTCATGGTTTTGTGATTTTTGGTTTTCAGTATTACACATCACAACATCATGTAGTGCACTGGGAGTTAAAGTGTTAACGCTCCAATTCCAGGTACCTGTCCCTGTATGTCACAGAAGTCATGGGATCTGGCCCTTCGGGGTTGGGCGGTCTCTTACTGCCTCGCAGGACCTGTTGGAGGGTACTTTCCTAGCCATTCCAAGGTTTTCAGGTTTGACTCAGTCTCAGGAACTCTCTATTTTATTTTGATTTATTAGTCCCAATTTCAATTAGATTGTATTATATTGTGTTATCTTGCATTCCGATATCATAGTTAGTAAAATAAGTTTTCCTCCATAGACCGTTGCTGCTACTGTTGTTTTTTTTTTTTTTCCCCCCTCCCCTGAGCCCAGCTACCATCTCCCTAACCCTTTTCCCTCCCATTTTGTGGGGCTGAGGGAGCCCAGGGGCCTGCTGCCCCCCTGTCACAGGCATAGATTGATCTAGTTAACTCCACCACAGTCATTCCTTTGCATCTGTATTTAGGAAAACAAAAGTAAAAGCTCCTGAGGTCTCCTGAATTTTAACACTTAAGTGAAATGACACATTCTGCTACAATGGAGTTACTCATCCGTTAAAATTGTGTTTATACGCTACTTCTACCCAGGTAATACAGGCACAGAACTTCTAGATTATTAGGAAAGTTTGTTATAAAGTCCAATCAGAAATATATTAAATATATATGTATGTATATATTCAGTGACAGTAATGTGTCTCAAAAATAATGGAACTACAGTATTTGTCTTGCAGAGGTGTGGAGGGGAAATCTTGAGTGTAAGTGTTGTTAAATGCTTAAGAAAACTTAGAAAATTCTTTTTAGCATTTAATTTTAAAGTTGCCCTGGGGCTTAAGGGACAAAGGAAAATTTAAATACATTTTACAATTTCCTCTAGGATTGTCTATACAAAAGCAGAGCATAAGTAATTTTTAAAATCAATAGCTTGATAAAATATCCTATCAGTACATTAGATTAAATTTCATGCTATCCTTGTTGCAAAAAAAAAAAAAAAATCGCGTTTAAATAAGCAATGAAATTAGCATAGTCAATTGCAAAGCTTTACAATTAGGTCCTGTTAATCCATATAATCCATAAAAAGCCACTTTATTGCCATAAACCTCTTTGCATCTATCTTTCTGAGACCATGATATTTAAAATGATTAAAATATTTTAAAGTTTAAGAGTCTATCTATAATGCACTTACTGTATGTAATTGCACCTCTGGATTCCTTAATATACATTCTATAACATATCTTATTGTGTTTGAGAGAATAGCAGAAGAAGCTTCAAGGTGCTACCAGTTGCAGAACTGTTCTTTTAATAGTATGGATTCTCTGAACAGATAAACTTTTTTTAAAAATATGTCTATTTTTACATTAACTTACTGTGAAATATTGCCAACAGACAGAACTTTGGATATTTATTTTATGACAAGGAATGCTAAGATATATTTTAAATTAGAAAGTTTGTGTGTGCATAGTAAACACATATGAAGAAATGTCAGATTTCAAGGAATTATGTTGACATTATGTAATGAACAATTCTAAGACAGCAACCAGGCTGATATCTGAAATTATTCAGCAGCGAGAGAAGACAAAGCTAACAAACATTTCCTTATAAGAGCCTGGAAAATGAAAATAATTTTCTTGATAATCTACTCCACCTTCAATTTCCTAAGAGGAACAGGTTTTCTTTTAACAAAAGAAACAGGAGCTATTTATATTCAAAATTCAAAACAAAAGCCTTTTCATAAGAATTCCTTAAACATCAATATTTTATTTGTGAATTTAATTTATTGGAAGAATAACTCATATCTAACAGTGTAATGAAAAATTACCCTTTGAGCCTGAGGGAGAATACTCCGCAAATAAGAACAGAAACTAAAGGATAAGTATAGAATTGGATACTTAAAATGCTGGATAGTTTTTACTGAATTGTGAATTTAGTATGTCTTATATCAAATATTTCTAATACTTCCATGTTATTATACAAATTATGTATTTAATAACATCTAAGTCTACATGTTAGTTTAGTGGTGCAAACTGTAGTTTGTAGATATTTGCATATTTATTTTACTTTATTTTCACTATTTGCTTTTAACCATTTCAATTTAAATCTGTTTAAATTTCACTGTTTTTATTTGAGGAGAAATTTAAGGTTTCTATACTTATATGTAATACAGAAACTCTTGTCCAGACTGCCTTCATGAATGGAAGTAGAATTTAAGAGCAATGCAGAATATAATATGGAAAAAGCCACTAAAAGAACTTAAGTTTAGGGGGGCTATGTAACATAGCTTACCTGAACTCCTGAATAATCAGTCATAAAACACAAACACTTTCAAAAACAAATCTTTCTTACAGTCTGAATGTTAGGAGGAGTTAGAGGAATTAATGCTTGCCATTAGATGACACTCAATCTTCATATGCATACTTTACACATGAAGACCTATGATCAAAATAATATTTGAGATAAATTTGCAATGGTACAATTAATCCTTCCAGCACAGAATCACACAATCATTTGAGTTGGAAAGGCCAACTAAAGGTCACGTAGTCCAACTCCTGTGCAATTAACAGGGACACCTACAGCTACATCAGGTTGTTCAGAGCCCCATTCAGCCTGACCTTGACTGTCTCCAGGGCTGGGGGCACCCACCACCTCTCTGGTCAACCTGTTTCACTGCCTCACCACCCTTATTTTTTTTTCCTTATAGCTAATCTAAGTCTCCTCTCTTTTAGTTTCAAACCATTTCCCCTTGTCCTATCACAACAGACCCTGCTAAAGCATCTGTTCACTTCTTTCTTAAGCCCCACTGTAGATACTGAAAGGCTGCTATCAGATCTCCTCCAAGTCCTCTCTTCCCCAGGCTGAATAGTCCCAGATCTCTCAACCTGTCCTCCCAGGAGGGGTGTTCCACCCCTTGGATTGTGCTTGTGGCCCTCCTTTGGATGTACTTCCACAGGTCCATGTCTCTCCCGTATTGAGGACTCCACATCTGGATGCAGTACTCCAGGTGAGAACTCACCAGCACGGACTAGAGGGGCAGAATCATCTCCCTCGACCTGCTAACCAGCATATTTATGATTGTAGAGGCCTGAAATTCTTGTTTAAAAATGTCACTACACAAGTAAGAAATGTACAGGTTAATTTTGAAGTGATGTATTTACTCTGGAATAAAGTCAGCTTTCTGTGCCCTGCCCTTAAACAGAACTGTGCAAAAATAAAAATTACTTTTAAAATCAACCTTGGGCCAAACATGACCTGCAGATAGCATGCATTAAAATCAAGAAGAGCTGTACAAATGCATCTAGGAGCATTGTTACTAAACAGATTCATAAGGTACTGTAAACTCTCCTTTTCAAAGCCAGAAGTCATATGACTCACAAGAAAGTGAGAACAGAACAAATTATTGAATGCACTTAGTCCAGAACTTGATTAAAGATGGGGTTAGGAAAGGAAAAGACATGTGAGAAGTTTACCAAAAGAGTTAATAATGACCTTGAATGTTTGACCTGTTTGTGCATTTGGAAGATATACACATAAATTAACACCACTCAGAATTGGCTTCCAAGGGTCTGCCTATACTTAAATATTTAACTTACTTAGTGTTAGGTTGTAGTAAAGTCTGACCCTTAACTGCAGATGCTGAACACAATCTCCAGTGAGATATGGTATGCACCATCCGTCAATCAAAATAACATCTTTAAACTTGTTATCACAGCATGAGAAATGAACTGAATACAGATTGGTCTGCGAGACCAACTTAATCATAAGATATACATAGCCACAGCATCCCACTCTTTCTAATCTAATCATTCATCTGACAAACGTGGAACAAGAAGCAGATTAGCCTCCAATATGGTGATAAAACTGTGTCAACATACTGAATTTTGTAATGAAGAACTGCAAAACCCTTTTGCTGCAGCTCTGCTTATAAAGTAGCTTCCCATGCTGATGATGGTCATTGGATGGGCTTGGAAATGGCCTTTCCATGCAACTCTGTACTCAAAAAAAAATATCAGAGCTAAAGAGATTTATGTACCAATTCATTCTGAACTACAACAATGTGATAAATATGCAATATATAGGACTTTCCTTTAGAATTTCATACAGGTTATGTCTATGTATGTACAGGTGTCCACATATGCCCATAGAAGGCATACACTTCACTATGCACTATGTTAAGTTAGGTCAGTACAGATGGATTTTACCAATATTATTAATGTCTATAGACTTTATAACAGCCTGATAATACAGAATCTCAGGGCTTGTCTGACTGTTTCTTGGCCTAAGCTACTGTCATGGTTTTATGGTTTCTGTTATCGGTATTCCACATGATAGCATCATGTAGTGCACTGGGAGTTAAAGAGTTAATGCTCCAGTTCCATGGACTGCTGATATTTCCAGGTACCTGGTTCTCAGAAAAGAAGAACTACATAACCCAGGGGACTTTCCATTTCAGTTCAGAGGGAAAGATAAAACTGTTCACAGATCATGAGAGGTGCTCTCTTTCCCCTCTCACTGATCTTGGGAGCACATGCTCCCTAGATCATTTCACCTTCAGCATTAGAGTAAAGCCTTTGGGTTTTTTTTGGACACTTTCTGTCATTTTATTTATTGGCTTACATTCTGATTATATTGTACTATATCGTTATCTTTCACTTTTATGTCTTATTTAGTAAATTAGTTTTCCCCCTCAAATCATTGCCTGTTTTGTTTTAGGCCCATCTCCCTACCCTCTCCTCTGGGGTCCCCACACCCCATTAGACACAGAACTGAGTTGAACCAGCCCATAAACCACTGACAGCTACTTTTACCTTGTTTTATCTGTGGTAAGAGTGATCTATTGCTCAAATGACTATTGCCTAAGTTCTGGGAATCATAGAATCAATCACAGAATCATAGCATATTTTTGATTGGAAAGGATGTTAAAGATCATCCAGTTTCAACACTAATGCCGTAGGCAAGAGATAGCCTCCACTAGGTCAGGTTGTCTGAAGCTCCAAGTACCTGGAATACAATACATGAAGTGGTCTCAGAAGCACAGGCAGTCATTCTCTAACACACAATATTCTTTCAAAATAATAGTTGGGGTTGGAGAAAGCTAAACAAAACTTTCCAACTTCAGCTGGAAACCACTGAAAAGATGGCAGACCGTGACAAAAACAATACAGCAAAAACAGGGTGGTGTCTCAATTTTTTCATGACTTCTCACTGCTGCACAGCATTTTGTGTTTTGTTTTTTTCTTTTTTTTTGAAAACCCTTTCTTAAACCTGCTTTCCCAGAGCAGCTGTTGGGTCCAGTTACACCCTATGGTGGGGCCACTGTAGTCAGCATGAGACAGCCTCACCTCACTGGAGACTTGCAGTCCCCAGTTACCAAAATCTGGCTATGTAAACCCAATATGCACAATTACTAGTAATGAAAATTCTCTACATTAATAGATCATTTAAGGATCATTGTATTCAGAGTTGAAATTAATTTTGATTAGGCTGTTTTTAAGCCAGTATTAGATGAAATCCACAAGTTAAATTAGTAAACTAATTAGTTAGTTTTATTGATAATAACTTAAAAATGAGTATCATATTCAGGCATTGACTACCAATGCTCTTCTAAGGATGTGATGCCTCAACATGAAATGTACTTTCATACAGATAAGCGTTCACAAGCTGTTTGCGAGCCATCATTGTAAGTCAATAACAGCATGGTTCCACATAAGACTGTTGATGCTTACAAAACTGTATGACACCATTTTTTCTAGGAGTTTTGCTTTTACTCTTGAATCATCAAATTTAAAATGGCAGCTGAAAGATTAGAATTTTTCCCAAATCTCCATTCTCACCTTTTCCCCCATGAATTTCTACTGTGCTTTAATGCGTGATACCTGTGCTTTATCTGTCAGAAGTGCTTAATACAGCAGCTACATTTTATATGTAGGTAACACAAGGTAAAGACTATCAAAAACTATTCTCATGCAATATTTCAAGGGTATATAATTTACATCAGAAGTAGGCTATTCATTTGAAAAAGCTCAGTCTTTTTTGCTTGTCCCTGAACTTTTGCACTGTGTCAAGAGACACTTGTACTTACGATCTCTCCATGATGTAGTGGACTTGAAATTTGAAAGAGTTTCTCTTCACAGAAAGACCCTCACAATATCCTTCCCTCTACACCTGAGAAAGTGGCAGTGAATGGTGCTGCATCAGACTTAGGATAAGAATACTGTTGATAACAGCATTTTAGTTGTTGAAGCAGAGCAGTGCTTACACAAATCCAGGGATTTTTTATTTTCCTTGTGCTGTCCTGCCAGCAATGAGCTCAAGATGCACAAGGAGCTGGGAGGGCACACAGCCAGGACAGCTGACCCAAACTGCCCAAAGGGATATTCCACAGCACATGACATCACTAATAATGCTGGGGGAATTCAGCTGGGAGACCTACTGTTGCTCAGAAACTGGCTGGGCATTGGTTGGCTGGTAGTGAACAATTTTATTTTGCATGTTTTTTTTTTCCTTATTAAACTTATCTAAACCTCCATCTCAATCAATTAATTTTGCACTTTTACTTTCTTTGATCCTCTCCCCTATCCCACTGTGAAGCATGTAGGCAAACAGCTGCATAACACTTAGCTGTCTGATGGGCTAAACCACACTAAGAAAGGACAGGAACTGAACTAAAACTTTGCTCCTATAACCCTTTTTCACAATTGGTAACTTTTTTCCCCTTGTGTGTATGCATAGAAAATGTGAAAATAATAATGTAGACAGCTATTGCTATTAGAATGTAAAGTATAAACCTCAGGAACTGGGATCTGACATTAAGCATGTGCTCAGTCACTAACAGATTGATTTAGGTGCTGTACACAGTAATGTTCAGCATCCTCCTAAAAGTTTAAACAGTTCTGGTTTTGTACAGAGCTGATCTTTCTTCAGCAGATCAATTTCACACCACTAAGGACACAAAAAAAACCCATGTATTCAATAAAATAACTGTGTGAAGACCAAGGTATCAGTCCTTTGCAGAATTCAAAGCAAATAAGGGCAAGGAGTTTAATCTATCTTTAAAATTACAAAACTAATACACCACAACCTTATTGTGAATTAACAAAAGTCTTACCAGAAAGATGTGAAGTTAATGTATTGTGGTTAATGGATTAGCTCTAGGAATTCCAGCAGAGTGGAGACAATATGCAATAAAGGATACAGGAGCCCCAGAGTTAATGCAGACGGTAGACTGTAGATCAGCCAGATAGGATGGACCTGATTGAGGAAGTTCTGGAGAAAGTTAAAGCTTGCTAAGCAGTCTACAGCAGATTCAACAGTTTTTCTAATTCATTTAAAGATAGAGGATGCAGCCGACTCTCACTAGACCTGCATCAGTACTTTTTCTAGTTTGGTTTTTTCCATACTTGATGATACTTAACTAGTAAAGAATGTATCTCAATATAGTTGAAAGTCAATTACTACTGAGTGCTACTATAGCTATTCTGAAAACTAAAGACTAAAGTTTTGAATCTTCCTTATGTCCACACATTTAAATTTATCCTGCATGTAACAAATATATAGAGAAAGAGATTGCCAATATATCCTTCATGTATACTCAAGAATCTTCCTGAATAAATACATATTTTTTTTTAAATCAATTTCCTCTACTTAAGCAATGATATTAAATACTTACTTGGGATCATGGAATAACTGCAGGAAATAACATAGAAATAACTATACATCTTCATTTTCAATTTACTGAGAAGGAGAGAGAGAATTCCTGCTTGGTTGACCTTATATGGGCTTTTGCTGTTAATTTCAGTGATTAGACATTACAAGACACAGGGACTCAAAATCAAGAGTTCCAATTTTTCAATATTTCAGCTGGGTCACTAAATTTTAGCCTGTTAAAACATGTATCCTGTAGACACATGTATGAAGATTGTTTTTGTGCATATATTGTAAAATTATGTGTCTTTGGTGAAAAAATAAATGTTATTAATTTCAATTTTGAATCACAGTATTCAAAATCTGTTTTTCTGTCTGATATTTGAAAAAATGATTTGTCTCAGACTACCTTTGTTTCATAATAGTAGAACTATTTAACTACTGAGATAACAATGAGTTTGTGTACCAAGATGGTTTTGTGCTTTGATTTGTGTTTTTAGAAGTTACTGATACAAATAAAGCAATTTTACTACAATTTTGTGACAGAAGGTCAGCACATTATAGAGGTAAAATAGTAAGAAAATATTATAATAACATTAAAGCAAAAAAGCATACAAATATATAATTTGGGTACCATGTGCTATTTTTTTGGCACAACTGTGTAAACTGCCTATTATAGCTAGTTTGGTTGTTTCTATCTGTGAAGTCCTATATGTTTGCCAATAAGTGTTTTTCTTTTTGAGCTGTCAGCAGTATTCACTGTACATAAGGCAACTTACTGCAAGAAGTGAAAGAATAAGCAAAATCAATAGCACAACTTTTTTACTACTGAAATGCAGATAGAGCAAATAACCTACCAAAGCCAAGAGCACAAGTTAATTGAAACACAGAAGGACCCTGTTATGTGTTTTTCTGGGAACTTACTATTGTCCGATAGTGCTCTTTTTTTTTTTTTGAAGTATCAGATATATTGCTGTTCATCTTGTTGAACACGGAAGAAGTCAAAATAGAAGCATAATAGAACAAGTAAATAAAACTGATCTCAACTTCTTCCTTCCCCTATCCTCCCCCTCCCTTCCCCATCAGCCTGTAATATAAAATATCTAAGGAAAGGTGTGTAATGTTGCTTCCCCCCCCAAAAAAAATATACAGCACTCAGGAGCTCAGTCAGCTTTTGTGGAAAAGGTTCACTACTTGTGATAACAAAGTCCCTCTCCAGCCTGCCTGCTCTACTGAAATGAATTGGAAATCTGTACCGATTTCAAGACCTAGATTGTACCTCCATTGCTTACAACATAGAACTGCCCCTTTAGTACTGAATAACAATTAAACAAACAAGCAGAACAAAACAGAAAATCTTCATAACATCACAGAAATCTCTTTGGAGAACGGCACTTAAAATACAACCCAAGTCTTGAACCGCAGTATTTTCATTCCTTATTTTTTTCCAGCCAGCCTCCCATAATTTAGCACTTCTGCTTAAATCTAGCAGCAACAGGGGTTTGGGCATATTTGGCTTGACTTTTATCATTAGCCTGCTTGTGCTTCTTTTCCTTGGCACAAAAACTAATGACAGACTTTCAATAAAGCTAAGGAAGAAAAGAGAGGGAATCAACTAGATAGTAATATTTACAGGTTGCTTGTTATGTTACGTGAAGGAAGGCTAAAAACAAATATGATACAATCTCAAAATACTGCGGCATCTTGGTTTGATCCCAAATTCCAAAGGAAGAGAAAACATGAAAGCTGATGAGCCAAAAAGGTATCTGGCTTGGAAAGACTCCTAGCCACTGCAGAATCAGCCTAGATGGCAGCTCAGTCCTAACTCAGCTCTGGCAAAGGGCACCAGGAGAGGATGTGGCCAGAATACAAATATAATCAGGTGGCATGTGGCTCTGTATAACTAGCTGACATGGATTCAAGCACCCATCTATGCAGTGTCAATGCTTTTAGTCAAGTCAATTCATGTAATTTATCTTGATTTTTAATGTAAGAGATGAACTTTCAAGTTTGAATATTTAAATACCTTTCACTTTGCTGCAGTGTATTATGAATATTATTTTGCCATCTGTAATATTTCACAACACTCAAATCTAGAAATTATTTGTATGGAACAAAACAATGACACTGGCTTTCCTCTATGCAATATTTTAAAAAAATATATGTACAGAGTATACATCCATAGATCTGTGAATTTTCTGAGTTGCTACCTTCATTCATCAGAAACATTCACAGCTCTTACAGTAATTGGATCAAGTTTAATATTTATGTACCACACAGAAATATATACATCTTTATGTATACAAGTATGCTTGGAAGGAAATACATATTCCACAATAAACACAAAATTGTAAATATTTAAAAAATAAAGTATAGGGTTTTCATGTGAAGGGAATAACTGAGCTACACAGTTTTGGTTTCAGTCATGCAAGGGCAAGCAAGACAGATCTTTTTGGCTATACAAACACATCCAGTTTGTACATAATTTTTTCCTGATCACATCTCATACTTATTCTGTATCAAGCTTCAAGTTTTTACTTTTCTTTTTTTTTTTTATTCTCTAATACTCTTTCTTGCAACCAAAAATCCCCCAGTGGAGCATTCTGACAAATTTTCAGCACAGTAGATGTCAATTATAAAGGCAGTCTCAAAAACAAACCATGCTTTTTAGTAGTAACAACAAATAAAAACAGAAAAAGCCAAAATATACTTATTTCACCAACCTTTTCTGTTTGACCACAATCATTAAATACTGTATTAAAAAAAAAAATCAGTCTTATGCCTTGTTTGGTTTTGGGTTTTTGTTTAATTAAAAAAACAAAACTTTGACACTTCACCATCGGGGAAAAAAAGTTCCACTGAGTATCTATTAAAGATTCATGGATAATTTCAAAGAAAGGATTTGAAGTACCAGAACATCTACCTTAAGAAAAATCTGGTTTGGGACATGTACTATTCATATTTAATTTTATTATCATTCTGTTTTACTATCACTTCTGTTATACCTGTAAGACATGATGTTACCTAAGCATTCATGTTGGCTTTTCCAAACATCCCTGTCATTTCCAGTAAAGTAGTCAACATGGCTCACTTCATTTTTTCACTGTATCTGATTTTACAAAACAATACACCTACATGTATTAAATCCTGTGGGTGGCTGGAGGACAAAGGTTGTGAACTTTGCTCTGGTAGATGAATCAAAAACATTATAGAATTTGAAGTAGAAGACATCTCACTTCCTAATGTAGTATACACATTCACATCACCTGGTCATTTAAAATACATTGTATTCTCTAAAAGATAATAGAGAATCAGAATTTTTAAGTCTAATAGGATGCATTCAATACTTTTAAATATATTTTTATGAAAAATTATGAAAAGTACTAGTTGATAACAACTTCAGATATAGACTTTCATTCATTTAAAAAGAATAGAGGCATCCTGCTACCTCTTTCCTTAATGTACGTACCCAGTGGCATCCTGGCTTGTATCAGAAATAGTGTTGCTAGCAGGAGCAAGGAAGCATTCATCCTCTGTACTCAGCTATGCTAAAGCTTGAGTACTGCATTCACTACAAGACATACACTGAGGCCCTGAAGCACATCCAGAGAAGAGCAGTGAAGTTGGTGAGGGGTCTGGAGCACAGGTTTCATGAGAAGCAGTTAAGAGAACTGAGATTGTTTAGTACAGAAAAGAGAAGGCTCAAGGTAGACCTTATTGCTCTGTAGAACTACCTGAAGGAATGTAGGGGTTATCCTTTTCTCCTAGGTATCTAGCAGTAGGACAAGGGGGAATGGCTTTAAGCTGTGCCAGGGAACTCAGAACTCATTTAGAAATACTACTTCTCTGAAAGAGTAGTCAGGTGCTGGAACAGGCTGCCCAGGAAGGTGGTGGAGTCACTGTCCCTTGAAACTTTCAAGAAACATTTAGATGTTGTACTAGAGGACATGGTTTAGTTGGGCAATGTTGGTGGTAGATGGACAGTTAAATGGGATGATCTTGAAAGTCTTTTCCAACCTTCATGACTCTATGATTCTATGTCTGTTACCTAAGCATAACGCAAACATGTCCATCTGACCTGGTGGGTACAGTGCCAGTTGTAAAGGGAATACAAACTTCATTTCCATGCTGCCATGGAAAAAGTTCCTGGGTATCCTCTGCTGTGCTAATCTCTCAATCATTGTGATGAGGCACTGGACACACAAAAACACAAAGGTGTAGTGCCATTTGATATTGAGATGACATACAACAAAAGCTTGCAGAGTCCTCTGAAGTTACAACAACATGAAGTGTAGCATGGAAAATTTTGTATGATCTATTATTCCCCGGAAATAGGACAAAGTAGATAATGCTAAACAAGAACTAAGCATCTCTGCTGTGGCAGGCAAAAGACAATGGGAATCAGATGCTCAGATCTACTCTAAAACTAATTTTTAACAACTCTAATTGTCTTTGTTTTTAAAGTAGTTTAATAGTAACAATCGTACCATGTTGTGTTTTCTACATACATGTGACATTTTTGAAATGCCATATGTTTTTAGAGCTAAATGGAAAAACCTAGGTGCCCATACTTCTGGGCTTGATATTCAGAAGTATGGCATCATTGGATTGATTCTGAAGGCCATGATAGGTAGCTTTTCTCCTACATGGAGACCTTGTATGTAAACTGCCACTTCCTTCCAGCCTTGTGTCTGGTCCTGTCTTTTGCTCCTGATATAACACTGTGTGGACCACCAATCTGACTCATGCCATGTCTGGGACTGCTGCCAGCTCCCAACTCCACTTTCTAGTATGTTGATATGCTACGGGACTACACCCCTTCAGTAAGGGCACAGCCTTTGCTTAGTCACCCTCAAGTCCTGACTCTTTAGGTAGTAAATAGCTCTCATCTCCTTGAAAGAGAATGTAGGACAGTGGCTAGGAAAATTTTTTTGAATACAGGAAGCAGATTTTTTAGCTTGTCTTTATCAGGGATGACTCTCAGTTCTCCTGCATTGGCCTTCACTGGGTCTGAGAAGGAGCAAGTCCGGAAGAAAGAAAATCCAAGGGGACCTTTAGTCTTTTTTCATTTCATCTATTACTTTAATTAGTCTGAAAAAAAATAAAACTCAGAACAGTCTTAACTGAAAAAAAAAAAAAGATTTCTTACAACTGGAGAAACTTACCTTAGTTGCTAATTAAAACCAGCCTGATTAGGCAGCACCTAGCCTACTGAAGACTGAAATATTTGTTCTTTTCTTTTTCTCCAGAAGGGTTTGGAATTTCTTATATATAACCTAAAAGAACATCTGTAATACTCTAACAACTGTAATAAGCTTTTCTAACAGATGTTGTATTTCTATTGAAAATGTGAGATACCTATGTAGTCTGATAAGGGGGACACTTCGTTTCTCCTGATCTTCGTGCATTGTACAATCGCCAGTCTTAGATTTTGTCTTTGGAGTAACCCTTCATTCCAGCAATTATTTTTTTCCTACTAATGTGAAAAAGTGTTTGAAGTTCAAGCAACTCCTTTCATAAAGAAAAAGCTTCATATCACTGTTGAAACCCTTTTTAAAGCTTCATGTTGCAGTGAGAAGAAAAGACCTTTATAAAACCTCACTACAATTATTATCATAATCTCTATCAACTAAGTAGATATATCATCTTGACAATATTTCTGTACGTGAGCAAACCCACCTACTCTGCTCAGGCATTTTGTTTATTTGAAGTTCTCTCACCACTGACAGTGTCAGTATGTTAAGAAAGTGTCTAACATGAAGCTGAGAAATGTGCACACTGCATAGTTAAGATAATCACTTCACATTACAGTATTCAGTTCTACCTTATTAAGGACTAAAGCACTTCTGAAAGCCATGTAAAATCCCAAATGTAAAAAAAAAGGGAGAAAGTTATATATGGATATGAACAAAAAAAATGTGCTGGAGATATCTATGTAAGCAATACATACAGCAGCAGCAACTAATCTACATTGAAATATTGTTGAAAACATTTACCATCTTAAAAACAGCATTTTCCTGATATTTTAGAAATAATTGTTGCAACATGTCATATTCAGACATCTGCTAAGTATCCATTACAAATAACACAACCTGCAGCTGAAGTAATGGTGATTTCATGGTTTCCTGCAAGAAGAAAGTATCAGATTTCAACTATGAACACCCAACTCATTTTGAAATTAAACTACCGTAAGGATAGGCAGCAGCAGATATAGCTGCTTTAAGCCAGTTTCTGATCACTTAAAATTAATGAACACAATCCAGTAACAAAGAAGGAATACCTTATCCCTTTCTGAAGATTAGGCCTCACCAAACACTCCACAGGAGGCAACCTCCAAACAGAAATCCTTGTCTTATCATAGAATCACAAGGTTGGGAAGGACCTACAAGATCACCTAGCCTAACCAATCACCCATCACCATTGCTACCACAAGCTACTAAACCATATCTCAAACTCCTCATCCAGATGTCTCTTGAACACTGCCAGGGACAGTAACTCCACCCCTCCCTGGGCAGACCTTGTATCTGCAAAACCTTAAATGAGGTTAGGGAAGGGTGGACCCTAGCTCCACCTGTTCTGGTCACACAGGTGAATTGCTTCCACCTGTGCTCCCAAGGCTGGCTACACCCCTTCACCAAGAGCTCAATCACTAGTTCAAGCTGTGACCTAATAGTTCCCATACAACAACCTTTCATTTTAAACAATTGATTTTGCAAAGCCATACAGTGATAAATATATAAAAACTAAAACTGTTCAAGCAAAGTTGTAAGCTAAAGTAGTGATCACGTCTGCCAAACTACTGTGCAGTGCCTCTTACAGGTTGCTTGTTCATTATCTCAATTTCAAAAATATTGAGCAGCAGCTTTCATGTTGGAATTGCTGATACTTTTCACTTAGTTTTTAAGAAGTTTTCAATAATCTCAAAAGTAGATGATTGTTTCATATGTGCTTGGTTTAAAATTAATCTTAAAGATATTTATGTGGCAATATTATGTCTCAAAGATTGTATCTATAGTATTACTGAAGGAAATAATGCAATATGTGATGTTCAAGAAGAAAATAACCCATAATTAGAGATATTACTTTAATCATTGGGATTTGCCAGGATTCCTCTAACTATCTCTACTAATATCCACTGTCGTTCACTAACCCTTTACTTTTTATCTGCTCATTGCTCTCTGATCAGGAATGCAGAGCTAGCAAGAAGCATTCATTACTCATGCCAAGTGACAGCCAGGTCACATGAGAGAAGTGAAGCAGGTAATAGAAGAACTGAAGCAGCATTCACAGCTTTTAACTTGAATGAGACACAAATAGTTTTTCACAAATCCCAGTATTTGTTCTTTCTTTCTTTGTAAGATTTTCAAATATGTCACTTCACAGGAGATATTTTTTTAAGTTCTACTTTTTTTTTTGTGATTTCACCTTCAGCCTAAGATGAAACAGACTGAAATGTTTCCATCTTCCTCCATATCTGCTCCACCAAAACAAACAAAAACAAAATAAGGATACATAACTCCAATTGTTCTGATTTAGCTATGAATTATGACCTCTACTCAATAAAATACATTTCCTTTTGTACTATCACATTAAGTAATGCAGATTTTTTATTAGTCTTCTGGAGAAAAACTTAATTCATGCTCAAACAATATGGTGATGAGCTAGTAAAGGAGTAATTTTCCCACCCAAAATCTGTTCCGCATAGTAACATGCATTTGCATTTTAGTTCCAAATGCTAGTATGTTGAATTAGAGGTTAACAATAAAGTTTAATTATAAGTCTATAAAGAAGAAATCATGACCTGATCTGAGACTAATGTTACAATCCACCTGAGTGCCGTTACTAGGCATTTTAATATAGCATGATTTATATTTGTGCTTAGTTATGTGCAATTTCTAGTGTTATTATCAGGAATATCCCAAACATGAGAGTATAGAAACAGTCTCTGTTACAGTCAGTATTACAGCTGGAAAGATTATCATGGTGAAAATCATAGCAAAAATGGGAAAAGAAACAAACAGAGAAGGAACACTCACCTATATCCGAAGATCTAGGTTTCAAAGAAAGACTCCACAGAAGAGAGATCTCCAGAAAGAGGCCCTTCCTTAATGGCAGTCAGCCTTTAAATGGGGCCCAGGAGAGGTGGATCCAGGCTCCAGCCCTTCCAGTCACACAGCTGAATTGCCTTCACCTGTGCTCCCCACAGCTGACTCAGTCCTTTCCTTAGTTCCCATACAGTCTTCCACTATCATAGGTAGCAAAACTACAGTATCTTTCAGAAAGTGAGTAAGGTCTAGTCACAGGTGGACAAGGGACTGCTTTGCATGGGTTTTGTTCCCCCACTGCTTTACAAAGAAACTAAACTCTTTGCAGCAGAGGGCGCATGTGCTTTTTATACTACTAAGGGCTGTCCCAATGGATCTGCAGTTCTGTTATCCACATTCTACTAGTAGCTCTCTACTCTCATCTTCTCATAAGACATTCCAATCCTTTTCTAAGACTTTTTCTCTCAATTTTGCCTCATCTGTAAGTTTTATTAGCATGAGCCTGCTATTTACACCAGTGTTATTAATAGAAAAAGACTGGCCCTAAGACTAAACCTCAAGGAACTCCAAGGACAAACCTATCCAGCAAAATCATTCTCCCCTCTGTAAAGCATTTGCCTCCTAATACTTATCTCTTGGTAGAAGCTGAGCAAACCTGATTTTTTTTAATACTGTAGTTAAAGCATTTATGCTAACTGATACAACTAGTTCTGAATGTTGATTATTCAAATCATTTGAGTATTCATTTTTTTTTTCAAGTATTGAGATGTGTCCTAAGGTATTTTGTGCTACCAGAAATGACAGTTTTCATAGTTAAAGAGCATTCATTGATGAAAAATTCAGGGGCCCTTCTACTGCACATCATTTTAGCCAGTCAGGCTATTTAACCTGAATGGTTTTCTTTTTGTATTCCGTTTGTAGAATACACCAATGTCTACTTTGGGCAAATAGAAATGGTGTGTATAAATCTTCACACACATGAGCACACACATGCTTACCAACTGCAAATAAAGTGATTATAAACTCATATAAAATTATATTAACTGAAAGTTAGTAATAGCCATTCTCTTCACCAACACTGATAATGAAATCCATATTTCCCTGCCAACTATCATATTGACAAAATACTTACAAGGATCATAAGAGAATTTCAGAGTATAAGCTTTCCTCAAATATGTGTTAAATAGACATAGGATGGAAATCCATGCTCTACTTACACCACTGAGCACTAAAATACAGGCGTTCTTTTTTCTCCTGAGTTAATTTCTAACCATAAGGCAGTCATTCAGAGAAATTGGATCCCTAGCTCCTTAAGGCTAAGTATCTTTCTACTGTAGGAAATGCTATCTAATTACACTGGCAAATAAGCAGCCTTCTCAAATTGAATTCCCTGTGACAGTAACATGCAATGACATTTGTGATGTTTCTTTCTTTTGGGTTTCTTCCTGTTACTAATATAGGCTAAAGCATACAGACAAAATACATTTCCATTCTTCTATCTGATTTCATATTGCTTGAGAAGAAAGTTAATTAGATCTTATGGAAACTACTTGGGCATAGTAGAGGTATTTATGAGATTTTTAAAAAAATCTATATGTATTGGAAATAGGTATGTTAATGTAACACTTTTAATTTTTTTTTTTACAAATCTATCCGTCTATCTATCTAACTTCCTTACTTGCAAACCCTTGCAAGTAGTGGCCTAATACCAGAGATAATCTCCCAAATCTAAAAATCAAACACGCTTAATTAGAAAAGGCCAGAACGGCAGGAGAAAAATCTCTAGAAACATCTTTCACAATGATTGCCACTTAAAACACCCAGATGCACTGATGTTTAATACGTGGTGATATCACAGGCAACTGCCTATTATTCTGCCTTTTAAATAAAACAGAGTCTATGGGGAACTATGTTCTAATGCTGATTTTAGTGACTGCTGTTTTCAATTGCAGAAGAAATTTCTAAGACAGAATGATTATTTCAGTCAGAACGATTTAAAGATTTCATGGTTATTACAATCAAGTTCAGAAATTATTAGAGCTGTAGACGTTGACTATCCATTCTTCATGTGGCCTTGTAGTATTCTGATACCTTAGATAGAATTAAGGTAGCAGAAGCAAACAGCAGCTGCACAGAAATCATACAGCTGCACAAATGTGTTCTAATTTACCTTGCTGAGAAGACTTGGTAATTCCTTCAAGATGAGCCCTGCATTTGCATGGTTATTCTGCCTGCTTGTTTAAAACAGGTTGAGTTACAGGATAAAAGAAATCACCAAGGTGCAAAAGTTATGAATAGGGTTAACACTTCTGCATTTTTACCAGCAGTTATAGTGTATCCATCATTGTGACATTGTCCAAAACTTATATGGTGCACACACTTTTCCTTTTCATCATGATATCATGGAAAAATGCCTGTAATCTACATTATTTCTGTTTTAAAATACAACACCAATCTGCTGTAGCCTTATTCTAGACTTCACATAGTTGACTTTGTATAAATGACAAGAATCTGAAGACTGCAACAGAAGATCTCCCAGGACTCAACAGCAATATTATGTTTGTCTGAATCTTGTTTTCTTCGTCTGTTTTGTCTGTAGCAGTATTCTTTATTTCCTTGGTTTTTGCCACAGGAACTGTTTATCTGATTCTCAATGCAATTTCAACAGTGCTCTCAGGAAGTGCTTTCTCTGTCCAATAACATTTGTGTGACAGATGGTGCAAATGACCATCACATTGATGCAAGAGTGGTGAAATGATATTGCTTACTGCTTGATGTTTTACCAACTGGCAACAGTGGATGACTAGCAAGGATAAGTCTGAAAACAAAATATCCTGTGTCCCGATTTTTCTGGTTTGTGGAACTAAATGTTAAGTGTAGTTCGTTTTACCTTTTTCAAAATATATTTTCCTTATTGCCAATACCTTTCATCTCCGAGGGTATTTACAAATCAAACCTCTTCCCATCAGAAGCAGAGCTCACCACCTTAGTCCTTTCCTTTCCCTTAGCCAATCTATTATTTAAACTCTTATTCTTTGTGATACAGGCAGGTATTCAGTGAACGTGCACAGAATATATCATTCCATCTAGATGCCTTCAGGTCTCTCAGTAACTGTTTGAGTTGCTAGATGTTTTGGTCCACCAAGCATGTCAAGAATTCACTTGTCTGGAACAATGAAGTCTAAATGAAAGAAAATGTAATCTTTATCGTCTCTGATCTTCTTCCTAGTATGCGCATCCTGACTTTCTAGCGTCAAGATGACTGAATTTTTCTTGTCAGACTAAGCAGTCACTTTCCTATTTCTACTTGTGTTGTATGCCTCTATTCATTATATCTCCATCAAATTCCATTCTCACATGGCCTACAATCCTGCTTATTTACTGCTCTAGGCTCAACAATTCCCCTGCTTCCTGATGCATTGGGCTTCAAATTGATGGCCTTTTGGGTAATTTTCTTCCCTAACTTCTATCAGTCTCCCTTTTCTAAACTGCTGGAGAAAAGACTGATCCCATGTCTTCTCCTTATTGTTAAGCTGTATACAAAAATGTTTCAAATTACTCTTCAGTCTGTTCGTAATACAGCTTTGAGCAGCAGTATTAAAAAAAAAAAAACACAAACTTATTCTGTAAAATGAATTTTATTTAGTTAAGCCACAAGCCTTCAACTTCTATCAGCCAAAAATACGGGTAAAACTGCAGTTATTTTCTGTTATTTATGCTATAGAGGTCTGAGAACATTTTGCAGAAATTTATGAAAACAGTCTATTCTCAAATGTAGCTAGGAGTAAAACTATCTAAAACACCTGGAAAAAAAATACAAAAAAGATGATCAACACCAAAAGATGTCCCATACTTTCAGAATTATTCAACAAAAGATGTCTAAAATACTCTACGCATCCAAACAACTAAAATTCGCCGTTGTCATTTTACATGACCTTGAATAATGCAAAAAGCTTTTCTCAGAACTAATTCAGAGTTGTTTTACTGCTAACCATTCAGAATTTCTTCTGAAAGATCAGATCCCTGATTTGTCCCTTTGACCGGATGATTCACGTCTCTGAATGCATCTTCTTTTCACTGTAACTTCAAACTTACACATTTTGTCTTCAGTTCCACTTGTACACTTTTCCTGCATAATAAGAAATAGCAGTTTCAGTTCTGACTACTCCATGGTGACAGCTGTCATTGCCATGGTTTTATTCATTTGCTTTTGGCCACTCTTCTCTGCCTTATGCTGACACACAGGATTTTCAAAATCAGCACTGCAATATCTTTCTGCAAGCCTCCCACTTCATGAAGCCTACCTAAGCAACTGTAATAAAGCTGGAAATGTGCACCAATGACTACCTGTCATAGCCACCATACAGTTATTTATATTGCACTTTCTTTACGATCACCAATCATCCGTCACATAGCTATCTCCTGTGTTAAAATTCAAGTACAAACTCCAGGGCTTTCCTTTTCTGTCCTGCATTTATATGGTAGCTCCAAAAGTGGGATCATCATCCAAAATTAATTTACTTAAATATTACAGCAATACAAACAATAATTAATAGATATCCATCCATTATTCTGATAAGAAATATTTCTCTGGAAATATTTGTTTGCATACTGGATATTAACACAAAAGAGTCTTGTTGGAACAAACTGAAACTGAATTCTTACTGCAATTTGGCAGAGCTACAGAAGATAAACACTACTGTACAATATATTAAGCCTTACATCTTCAAACCATATTAACTGCGTGGAAGAAACAAATTGTCCAAATTACAAGCATAAAGGAGAACCCGTAGTTATTTAATTTTAATAGTGAAGAACAAATAGGTCACTTTCAGAATGGTCCACTGACAGTAACCGAGGTTTAAATACATGTATTGAGGTTAACTAGATAAAATCCTTTGATGAAGAAAAATGTATTTGGATGATAAAAGATATTGTGCATTAATCTCTGAGGGTTTTACCACATTCTCCTACCACAGTCTTTTATGTCCCATTGCTTCAGAAAGACAGATGCTACAAACTCTGTCCTTTATATGGGTTCTTATAGGAGGCAATATAAAATAACAACAAAGTTTGGTCATCAGGAAAAATGATCAAAAGTAAACAAGAACTTCTGTGATAAAACAGAGGAATCTATTCACATTCT